TAGTAGAATAATGTTATTATACAGTATGAAATATACAAGTTTATTAGATTAGATCTCAATGAATATGAATAAAAACAACAAAGTAGCTAAGGAAACAAACCATTACACCATATTTTTTAGCCGAAAATAAAAAGCTAAAACAATTAGAAGCCAAAGTTGCAAGTCTAAAGCAAAAATTTGCAAATCATAACCGATTTAAATAAAAAGGTTCAACAGGTGACCCGTGGGTCAATAGCTTTGTGGGTTACCAAGCATGACGTGATGGTTTTGATCCAAAACACAGCTGCTTAAGCGATCTCTTTAATCTCAATTAATGGTAAATTTTGCCAAACAGGATGTAAAAAAAAGATGATTTGCAGTAAAAAGTTTGTAAATTGAAGTGACAATTTTTTACTAACAAAATATTTTATTTACGTAATAAACTTTATCAATTTATGATTTTTATTTAAATGGTTATCGCAATGGTGGACACATTTAAAATATTTCCGCAAAGTAAAATTCATTTACTGATACTATCTGACCCGTTATTAAAGACAATTGAGAACGCCGCTATTTTGGGAATATTATATGCAGAAATAAACGGTAGTCGGAAGTTTACCGTTCTTTAGATACATTTCATTCCCTACCTTTGGCTATGAGCTTTTAAATTCAGTTAAATAGAAACATCACCAAAACAAAATTGTACTAAAGTTTTATGCATTGATCTTTATATGGTTTAGGTGCTTAACTATACTAAGGGAAAAATAATGAAGGTTAAACTTAGATACTGAATGAGTCAGGACACAGAATTTTTGCAATTCATTAATTTACTATGATTTAAGTCTGAACGAAACATTAAATTTATATTATATAGTGTATAAATATATATATAGGTTTGCTATATTTGTCAGAATCACCGCAACCATGTTTTTGGTACAAAGTCTTAATACTCGAATCCCGATTCTAATTCTCAAAATATGACATGATTTTACACTAAGACAATAACGAATCTTAATTTGCTTATTGAAAAATAGACAAGACAATAATAAAAACCAGATAAAACAAAGAATCGAGACACTATTAATAAGATGTTATAAAACTTAAAACTATTGCACAATTAATATGCATAATATAAATGTGCATTTTTTTATATTGCTCCCTAATCACACAACCAAGACATTTGAATAATGTCCTCGATGAAATGATAAAATAATGTAAAGATACTAAAATAGCCAATGTTGTTAAAAAAAGAATAACAAGGAAGTATAGAAAATAATAAGATAAAAGAAATTGTAAGTTATCTTATCCTACTTAGGCTATATAATTGTGAATACTCTTTATTGTTGCAAAATGACTGAATGTTTTTCCAATTTACTAAGTTCTTTTTGTCTGTTTAGCAAACTTCTTAGTTCTTGTGTAAATTAAGTTTGCAAAAGAGTTTGGCAAGTGGTTAATTGTCCCTGTAGCTGTCCCCGAGCAAAAGAATTATCACTCTCATTTTCAGATTCGATAATTTGTTTGTTTGTCTGCAAAAAAAGATCTAAAATGGATCTTAAACTATCACCTGCTTTACTTTTGGCTGTAGCCGTTAATTGCTCAAAAATATTTTTTTGCTCTTGAAAATAAGGATTAAAATCTTTCAATTTAAGCCTTTTAATTTCTTGCTTCAGATTGTTAAAATTGAGTTCGGTACTGCCCAAAACTATGTTATTTAGTTCCCGAAATTGATTGAGTGTAGGAGTTTGTTGGATTTTTTTATTTAAATCGGCTATGATTTGATATTTTTGGTTAAGAGATTGTTTTAGCTCTGCAATTTCAGCCGCTGATTGTTCCAGTTTTCTATCTTCGATTAATAAATATGGTAGTATAGCTTGTTCTCTCAAATATTTATATTTTTCTGCCCACATACAATTTTGGGAATCATATTCATAATAACATAAAATTATTCTGTTACTTTGCATTTCTTTCATTAACAAAATAAAATTATTAGTATGAAAAAAATTGCTTAGTTGACCATGATTTTGATCCGCTATCACTATTTTGCTTAATTTCTCATTTTTGCTAATGTCGATATTTTCTAAACTATTCAATTGAACATTGCTCTGAAAAGTGATTTTTCTAAGATTAATAAAAGGTTCCAAGTTCAATCCACCTTTTGGTTGTCCGGAATTAGAATAAATATCAAGTACGTCATCCGAAAAGGAAAAAAGAGTAGATTGTACTTTAAATTGTTTAAAGATTATATGCTTTATTTCTTTTTTTTGATGATTCTTTAGGAAATTAAATATCTCTTGAGCCATATTCCAAAGTCAAGTACGAGTTGTTTTTAAAAACTTGATTGTTCAATGGGATCCTTTTATTTATTTTACTTTATTAACGAGAATGAAAGTTCATTACAAAGCGTCTGATCTAAACAACATAGTATGATGAATTCATGCATCATGTAACTATGTGAATTGGCATATAATAATGCAGGAAACAAATAGGATCATGATTTAAGAACTATATGTCTGGCTGATACTTTTATTTAATCAATAACTTATCTAAACCATAGTACGTCAGCTTATCCTTAAAAATTCATATTAGTGTATTTTGCGTTTAAAGAAGAATATTTGCTTTTAAAGGATAGATTTCTATCTAGTGCTCCAAACTCGTACACGAATTTGACAAACTGTTTTTTCCGAATGTTCTAATTAGTACAAAGACAAGCATCTGATTATTTAAATACTGAGGAGCTTGTCAACAAAATGACAAGGTAGTTATTATTACAGATCAGATGACTTTATGTAACCACATATTCAATTTGTCGTTAACTTTTTATGGTCTTTTTTGTGTATGGCCCTATATTGTTATGATTGTTATGATACTTTATTAGATGCAGATAGTTTTCCAGTTAATATTGTGATTATACATATGATTATTGAAATACCGATATGAATTATTATTATCATTAAAACTGTAAAAAGGTAAGTAAGGGGTAATCAAATGGTTCTGGCATGTAATCAGGAACCATCCAGTGAGGTAACTCTTCGATTTAGTTGGATTGACGAATTTTGCAAATCTTTTTTTTTTTTTGAGTCCCGTGAGTCCCGTGAATTCCACTATTATATTGTAGGTACGTAGCTATCTTTTATTTAACATATTCTGATCAATATACTTTTTAACTTATTTATTATCTTGATATTTAATATAAATGTTTATAGCATTATAGCAAGATATAGGTATATAAAAATATATATAAAAATATATATTTTTTTTTATTATCTTGATTTTTGGTACAGTATATATAGTTTTTATTTGCAAATGATAAAACATATTCATATGCTTATATATCAGTATATAGTATACTTATATA